ATCACAGTAATCTCCAAAGTAAACAGGAGAGGCAGCCTTAATGTCAGAGGCCTCTAGGACAGATGCCTATCACTGGTCTTACCCCCCACCTGACTGTCAGAAACAGAACCTCTAAAATCCAATAAGAATAGCTGGAAGGCAAAATCAACAAATTTATCATCGTGGAAATAAGCAAGAAAAAAGAAAATGCCTAAAACAAAGCACTAAGTGCAAAACACATCAGAGATTCATTCCTTTTATCAAAAAAAAAAACATAAAGAAAGAACTTTTTTTTTTCTGGTTTTCGAGTAAGCTAGCATATCTGGACCAAAGACTCCCACGTCTCACTGAAAACTTTCTTGAGATCATGAAAGACTCCATACGATCACAAGGAACTACAAGGTCGGAATTCAAGGAAAGTGGGAACTCAGAGAGAAGAACAGAGCCCTGAAGCCACCTTTACCCTGAGAGTACTTGGGGAGCCCTTGAAGGTGTGCTTTGGTCAGTCTGGCCTCATAGAGTCTGAAGACAGAGGCCAAAGCCGGAGCATGCCAGTGGGCAGTCTAATGGGACACACTCTCCATAATAAGGGTGCAGTGCCAAACAGCTTTCTTGCTTTAAGAGTAAATGCCCACTGCTCACCTCCCTCCCCAGGGCACTTTGAGGAAAGCAGCTTCAGTAGGGCAGAGGAAAACTGAGTTGTCACCACAAACTAGAAAGTTTACGGCAGCTGTTGGTTAAAAAGCCTCAGTCTTGAATTTAGATGAAAGTGGTTCCAAATTGGCAGTGTTTTTTCTCTGCAGCACATGCCAGTGTTCCCTGGCCAAGTACCTCCCAGGCCTCTAAGGAACCACCAGACTATTTTCCTAGGCAGTGGGTTGTGAAACAAGTTCCCTTTGCACTGGTTACCAACTTTCCTGAGTCCAGTAAAACAGAACACCCACACATACGACAGGCTACGTGAATCAGATTTATTACTTATAGACAGGCAGCAGGGGATAACAGAAACCATAGGTGCATTGGAAGCTGCACCCCAAGGCTCAGGAAAGCTGCCTGGGAAGCAGATGGAGTCTCTTCTGCACATGCCTCACTTGCAAGATAGCAGAGGGACCCCAGGAAGCAGCCCATCCTGGATTGTATACCCCTGGGTCACATGATCACTGGGCTAATGCACTGAAGGACATCTGTTTCCGGAGTGTGGAAGACGGCTGAAACAGAACTGAGGCTATTTCAGCCAGCTTCCTCTTATCTCAAGATGTTGTATTCCCAGAACATTCCACAGTTATTCTTGTGAACTCCAAGTAAGAAAGTGGGGGAAACGGGTTGGTCTAAGGTCACTCAGAAAACTGTTCTATATGCAGTAGCTCACAGTATAAAATAAACAACTAGGCCAGACGTAGTGGCTCAGGCCTGTAATCTCTACATTTTGGGAGGCTGAGGTGGGTGGATTACTTGAGGCCACGAGTTCGAGACCAGCCTGGCCAACATGGCAAAACCCTGTGTCTACTAAAAACACACAAAAAAATTAGCTGGGCGTGGTGGCAAGTGCCTGTAGTCCCAGCTACTCAGGAGGCTGAGGCACGAGAATCACTTGAACTCAGAGGCAGAGGTTGCAGTGAGTCAAGATCATGCCACTGCATTCCAGCCTGGGTGACAAAGACAAAACTCTGTCTCAAAAAAACAAATAAACGAACAAAAAAAATCAACTATTCAAGGGAAAAAAAAGCACTTTTCATGAGAACCAACAGAATTAACAGGAACAGAAATATAAACACGAAAACTTCAGATATTGGAATATGAAAATATGAACTATAAAACCACTACAATTACTATGTTTAAATAACACGTCTCAGACTTTCTAGCAAAAGATGGAAAACTTCCCTCTGGACTTAGCAAAACAACGAAGATGCTGCCATCACTCCTCTATTCAACACTATCCTGGAGCCTTTCCCTGTGCAGTAAGGCAGGAAGAGGAAATAAAAGAGATACGGATCAGTCAGAAAGCAAGCAAGTAAGCTATCATTCTTTGCAGGCATCTAGAAAATCTAAAAGAACCCACAGATTAATTAATAAAATAATAAGTGAGGTTAGTAAAGTTGCTGGGTACAAAATCAAACATAAAAGTGGATTACATAGTGGTGATGGTCACACGATATCGTGAATATACTAAATGCCACTGAATTGTACACTGTTAAATGATTACAATGGTCAATTTGATGTAATGTGTATTTTGCCACAATGAAAAAGTAAATTGCAATCTACATACCAGCAACAGAGAAAAAATAAATAATACATTTATGATAGCATCAAAATATCACACACCTAAAAATTAACACATGGGTATGCTTATGGAAAAGTTACAAAGAGATATCAAATAAGATCAAAGAAAAGACAGAGATACTAATACTACAAGAATTGTTCTCCCTAAATTGATCTAGATGGCCAATACAATTCAAAGAAAATCCCAATACACACCTGTGTGTGTGTTTGTGTGTAAGCAAAACTTGCCCAGTTAATTCTGAAATATATATGTAAGTGCAAAGGAATAAAATAGCCAACTCAATCTTCAAGAAGAAAAAGGTGAGAGGACATTTCCTACCACTCATAAAGCTCATTGTAAGACTATGGAAATTAAGTAAGTAGAGCAGAATGGAGACAAACCCATACAGACGTGGACACCTGGTCTGTGACAGAAGTGGCCTTGGTGACTAATGTAGACAGGATAACCATTTTAATAAGAGACACAGGGACAGCAGGGTGCCCGCACTGGGAAAAATTAAAGTTCATACTTTAAACAAAACTAATTCCTGATGGATTAGATGTTTCATCAAATTATATGTAAATGTGAAAGGTGGAAGTATAAAGCCTTACAAAATATAGGGCTACCTTTATGACCTCAGAGCAGGATAGAATTTCTAGAACAGAACAAAAATAAAATAATTAACCACCCAAACGTTTAACAATTTTGATTATTTTAAAATCAAGATCTTCTGTTTATTAAAAGATACCAGGAAGAGATTAAGAAGGCAAGCCTGAGATTATCTAGCTGGTTCTACCACCTACCGACTTTGAGATCTTGGGCAAATGTTGCCTCTCCATCTCGGTAAATTAGAAATAATAGTATTTACCTGCAGGGTTGTTCTTGAAGATTAAAGATAATACACAGCATCATGTAGCAGAATCACCACTCAATAAATCGCTTCATTTGGAGGAATTTGTGCATCTTCCTTCATTCTATGGTGTTACGGGACCACAAGAGGTCACTGATTGTTACCCTCTGGTCCTGATGAATAAAACCCTACCCCAGTTGCTCTTCCCTCTCCATTCACTTTCTCCCCACCATGAGAAACAAACCACTCTGCCAAGAGAGAGTCAAGGGCCTCTTGTGGCCCTCCCAGTGGCCGGCTGCATCTACAGTCCTTTGCCTAAAACCAACAATCCTGCCTGACCTTAGTTCCCACGAGCAGCTTCAATGGGCAGCTGCTTGGTTAATGGGGTTGCCCAGCCTGAGGCTGAGACAACATGCACAATGGAGTGTGCCAGTGATAAAGAGCACCACAAACTACCTTCACGCAGGCATTTTATATGTGATTGTGGGGTGATCATTTCTCTGCAATCAAAAAGAAAAAGAAAGGCTTTGCAAAAATACCACAGAGGGGGCTATTACGACGAATCAGGCTAAGGCATCTTGAATCCTCAAGTGTAATCACAGTAATGATAGTTTTCCTGGGGTCTGAAAACCAGCTCTGAACTGTTTGCAATGATTTGGCTTTCCATTGCTGATTCCTCACAAATTAGATTCAGACTCTTTCCATGTGTTGATGCTGCTGGGGGTTAATTATGGCTGTGAATATTCATAATAGTCATAATACCCGTGAATCTTGTATGTGCAATGGAAATCACTGAGCTGGGAAATAGAGTGGATTTCCAAGGTTAAAAACAGCAACCCACTTTTCAGTAGGAATTCAATTGCATACCTGTTGTTCAAACAAACCCCATGTTTAAAAATCTCTACAAAACTTCAGCAGTTGTCTTTGAATATACCAATGCCTGACTGCTTTATTATGCAACACATAAATATAGCTCTTGTTCAGGTATTTTTATGGTGGTAAATCTAGCATATACATTTGTATCACAAAGATAGCTTGCTTTACTTCAAAATAGATTTTACCATCTGGATGATAAGAGTCTGAAAATCATAAGAAGCAGGACAGTTGGAAGAACTGGGATCTCATTCTAGAGAACAGAGAAAGGGGAGAGCTTTGCACAAATTACTTTAAGGGATGTCACTGCTTAAGGGAGACTGACTTGGTTCTGAGGGTCTCCAGGAAGCAGAGCCTAGGCCTTCACTTAGGAATCAAAGAGAGACAGAGAGAGGCTGTCTAACAGTAGAGGATACCAGGAATGAAATGAATACTCTCTTGAGAGGGTGAGGGTCCTCTTGGGAAAGGAATTTAAGCAAAGGCCAGAAAATGACCAACAGTCAGGAGATTGACAGGAGGGGCCCTTGTACCCCTGGGAGTTGAGGAGTCTGTGGAGTGACACACGGATCATAAAAGGGAGGCAGTGACAGCAACACTACCAGTAGGGCTGTCCCAGCATGTCACAGCTACATGGCCTTCAGTATATTCTACGTTTCTCTCTCCCTCAGTTTTCCTAACTGTAAACTGGGCATAAAAATTATGAGAATTCAATGTGTTAATATGAGTAAAGCACATAGAATAGCACCTGACATGAAGCAAGCACTCGGTAAATGTTAGCCCGTCATTGGTGCTGACATTGCCAGTCGAGGCATATTATGACGAGACATTGGGACCTGTATATACACACATCTGATTTTTAGGAATCAGGAGCCCTACAAAGCAAGCGTCCATGGTTTGGGAAACAAACGTTAACATTCATGGTATGAATCATTTCAAAACTTTAAATAATTGTATAATTTTGGAAGCTGCATTCCAACCAACAAATGAAAATGAAGAGAACAATATAATACAGCTAAGGACAGACTGGGAGGGTAGTACCTTGCATTTGTTTGTTCTCTGCTCCTGTCTGAGGTAGGTTTCATAGATCTGAATGCTCGCTGACCACCTGTGATTACTTCTCCTACCTAAAATAAAAATGAAACACACACCAAGTCGTGCATTACTCCTTGATGTACCTTTAAAAATATCCATATATGTATTTTAAAAGATACTAAAGCATTTTAATTTTTTCTCTACATATTCCATGAAAGACTCAAACTTGAAGTCCCTATATGCAGTGTAGAGAAGGTTACATCATGAATTGCATCTTTCATAACATCTTGCAAAGCCACAAGCTATCTACAACTGCTAAAGGCCGAGCAGGAAATATGGTGAATTAATGTATTTAACAAATATTATATAAGAGACAACAACATGACAGACACTTTTTTGGGGTGTTCGGGAAACAGACTGACAGAAACACCACCTTTGAGGTGCTTCTAGTGAAAAGTGGAAAGCACTCTGAGTTGGGAGCTTGAATCCTCATTCTCCCAGCTCACTGGGCCCCGGTTTCTTCCTCTGTAAAATGAAGACATCGGTTTATAATCTCAAAGGCCCCTTTTTGGTCTAAAAAATCCTAGAATTCTACTGTATTTTTAAACTAAATAAGCTCACTGCTAAGCATGTTGAAGTCTCAATAAAGAAAACAATTCCATTCAATAAACATACTGCAAAAATTACTTAGATCCAGTACCTTTTCTCAAGAAACTCCTAAGATATCAGAGAGGGGAAGGAAAAGAGAACCTGCTGCTACTTGTCAGACCCCGACTACCTGCTAGACACACACCTATCAATACAAACACTGTATTTTACTTAATCTCCCTCCCCTCAATATTCCTACGAGGCAGGAACTGCTGGTAGGAAGAGAGAAGTTTAAAAACTCTCTTCTTATGCTGCCTGGGTCCAGTGACCACTACGGGGTCTGCTCTTTGTTTTCAAGGAGTAGAGTGACTTGCAGTGGGTGTCCATTCCCCTCTCTACCCTCACCAGGTCCTTCTCTTTGGCAGGGGAATGACTCATTCACTGGCAACATCTCTCTGATGGGCAAGATCATTTATTTCAAGGGTGAGGGCTATCTGCCTTTTCTCTGTTCTGCCCAAGACTTGGTATGCTGCACAGCTGTGATCCAGGTTCATGCAACTGATTAAAGACTAGGCTTGGATTTGGAGGGTCTGTCATCATCTGCCTCCCATCTACTGGCTCAGGCACATATCGTCACTTACAGTGTATATTTGGGAAGGGCATTGGGAGCCCCACTTTAGCCCCAACAATAAGCCACACTCTCCTATCCAAGCTTTACTAGACTGAACTGTTGGGCATTTCATCATATTAATACATGGAATAATTTGTTTCTTATTTGAGATTCTTGGTTATATGCTCCAATAAACCCCCAAAGCCTAGCCCACTGTTTATCACGTGTATACTTCAATAAATAAATGACCAAACCAATGAAGAAATGAATCCTAGTCTGAGAGACTGTAGTATCAAACTTGGGGAGGTGAGGACTCTGACGATGTCCACTCCTAGATTGCAGTCCTTCTCCTGTGTCAACATCACAAAGTGGTGCAAGACCAGTTTTTTACATGGTGCAGTTGTATAATTTTCAATTATATGTTGTAAAAATGCAACACGTGTATGTATGTGTGATGTAGTGCAGTTCCCTTTCACTGGAGACCATGAATATAAGAAGCATATCTTCCTCTTCCCATGGGTCTCATGGGAGGGCCTATGGGTGATGTGGAAAGATCTTCAGCTCCACCCTTTCAAGACTGCTCTGAACACTAGAGTGGAGCAAAATAATAACCCAAACATCACAAGTGGTCGATGTGATGGTAAGACTTTTGCTGAAGCTCCAGAAGAAAAAAAATAATGAATGCTACTGAAGACATTAAATTCCAAGGCTGGAAGGGTTTGTCCAGAAATGTTTCAAAAGAGATGCAGTCTGCATTACAAAAACTCATAGAAGATTGCTACAGAAGAACTGGCAACTAAAGCTACCGAAACAATGTTAGGTGAATAATTAAAGAAGGTGACTCATGGAAAGGTTTGCCCAATGGAGCAGGTTTGTATTATCAAATATGGTTTATTTTGGAGCAGGCTAAGTCTAAAATGTTGTATTTGCTATGTTTTAAAATAGATTTAATGTCATAATTGTATTGCTTTTGATTAATTTTTGCTGACCAATGTTGTGTTTGTGGGTGTTACTGTGGCAGGGAATGAATGTCCCTACGGTTTAAATAGAATGTCCAACTGGTTTTCTTCTTTTTCTTTAACTGAATGAGTGGGATGAATCTAAATATTTCCTCATATCCTGGCCTTCCCTTAAGGAAATGAAAACACTTTTCAGTTGCTATTAATCCCAGTTATAGTTAACCAAATCAGATTCATGCCAAGTATAAATTTAAAAAATAAAATTAAGAAGATATTTCTTAATGGTTTATGGAGACTAAAAAGAGACTGTCCTTAGATTTAGAGAAGGAGAGAGGGAATAGAGGGAAGGGGCCTCTTCCTGGAAGTATCCCAGGGAGGCAGCAAGACCTCCAAGAGATGTGGCTGTGTAATACTCGTGTTGTCCAGCAAAATGTTCTGCAATTCTGTTTTTCAATTTTGCCTAATATCTCAATATTTCTGGTGGAAATGCTCTGTGCTATCTGACACAATAGCTACCAGCTACATGTGGCTACTAAGCACTTGAAATGCGGTTAGTGTAACTTAGAAACTCAAGTTTTGATTTTATTAAATTTCAATTAATTTAAATTTATGTTTATTTAGCAAGAGAGCTGGGAACATAACCACAGTCAGCCTGAAACCCAGGTATGTTGGTCATGTGATGGGCTACCGGGATTCTTCTTCAGGTGTGAAGGACCTTGTCCATATCAACTACCCATAATTCATCTGTGGTCTAGACCACATAGTCTTCAATTCTGGAACTCTCTGCTCCTTCCTTACCATGCCTGGGACCTGGAATTCTCATGTGACTGTGAGAACTCAGGGGTCTACAATCTAGTCTCTCTGATCAATGTGAGGTCTAGAGGATCCCCTGTACCTGATTTGGCCAATTGAAAAGACTCAGGTCAGCCAGGGAGCTCACTGAGATGTTGCCTGAGACCTTTGCTGGGCCTGCATCACGGCTCATCTTCCTTTTCCCACTCCTGGCTCCTTCCCTCCCTTTCCAGGTGTTGACCCCCATGGCAATTCTTAATACATATTTTGCATGCTCATCTGCATTTCAGAATCTGCTTCCCAAGGAGAAGTGGCACCTTAGCACCTTTTAAATTTCTTAATATTTTAATTCCTTTAAATGAGGTCAATGTTAGTTAAAATTCATTAAAATACCAGCTTAAAAAAGAAAGCTCTTGAACCCAAAGTGCAAGTTTTGTATAGCTTTACATTGAAATATATACACCAATGAGAATGGGAGCATATGCATAATTAGAGTCTTAAAACACCACATTTCTAACACCGTTATTTGTCACATAATAAGTACAAAGACTGTGTTTATGGAAATGCAAATAGAATCACAAATTTGGAAGTTTTATTCACAGGGAATTTGCTGTGCACCAGAATCTAAATGTGTTTCTTATTTTTAAAAGGTATTTTCAGCTCATTAAGTTTCAAAGATTATTTTAAGTTTAAAAGTTAGAAGGAATTAAGGAATCAGCTGTAAGTAAAATATTAACACCAAAATTCCTAATAACACTGAAATTCATCTTAATGCCAACATTCATAACACTGAAATTCATCTTAACACAAACATTCATAACACTGAAATTCATTTAAATGCTGACATTTATATTAATAGTAGGTTACCTTTTCTAATAAGATCCAATTTGCCCAAGCTGAGGACTAGAGGTTCAGAATTCCAAGGTTTTGGAATCCTAACATTTGGTTTCCCACTGTACCTGCAGTCCCGGTACTTCCTCCAGGAAGCAATGCTCATTAACATCAAACATCGTCTTATTCATTTGTGCTAAATGTGTTTAGGAATGACTAATGGAAAAGTTGTAAGGGTCAAAATATGTTTAGTAAATTAGATAATGTGAGACTAACGGTTTCCTGAATCCACAGAGAGAAATGTAATCAACTGCTTGAAAATCCAATTGTGGGACAGGCATAAAGGAACAAATTAACATTTTAATTATGTTACATTATTTTAACTCTCATAGAGTCATGTAATTGGAAGTTGGGAGTGAACATGGAGGTAGTAATAGAGTTCATTTTTCTACAGAATACAAAAGTCCATTCTGAGGCTTTTCTGATGCATGACTTTCCAACTTTTGCTTAAATAGTACCCTCATTTGAAGTTTCATTACCACCTGAGGCAGCACCTGAATTGAGACGATCTATATCAACTATAAAAGTTACTCATACCAAGAAACATAGACTATGTGAGCTATGTAAAAATACAGTAAACTCATGCAAAGAAGCTACTTAGTTCTGAATCCTTATACTGTGGGTTGAACAAAAAAAATTGCTGATATCGATGTTTGACCCATAAAAACTGATTATTTTGTGATTCAACTTAAAGTTTAAATGAATTTAAATTAAAATGAGCAAACGAAAACTCCATTTCAGGTGAAGATGTGCTACTTCTAAATTAGGAGGGAAGAACAAATAAAATGAATATAATCAGAAATACTTGTTAAGAAACAAACCATAAATCAACTTTAACTTTTTCCTGTGAGTTTAGCCTGGCTTCTTAAATAAAAGTATACATGAAAATCACAATAAATTTATGTTTCTCTTGGAGATTTCACTTTCTCCAAGTTTCAACTATTACCTCCATTAAATTTGCTCCAAGAAATATTTACTGAGTATCTGTTATATGCCAAGCATAGGAGTGAGAGGTAGACATGGAAAGATAGATTAAAAATTATTCCTGATCATCTTATGAAAGAGAAAGATATATAAACAGTTAAAATACATTGAAAAAAGTACAATTGCTAGATATATGCATAGACTACTATGGAAGCCAAAGGGAGGGAGCTGTGCTGAAAAGGATAGACAGCAGAAATCATATAAGGTATTTTAATCTGTTCTCACATTGCTATAAAGGAATACCTAAGACTGGGTAATTTACAAAGAA